CCACCCGGCTTGGCCGCATCCACTCTCGTGGGAACATCGGCCCTGGACGCAACCATGCCGCTGACCGTGCCGCCGCCCGCATTCTCTTCAATCCTTCCATCCTACCCCACGTGACTGGCCCGGAGACGACAGTCATTGTATACCACCGTCCATGATCCAAATTGGGCACCTTGAGGGAGGCTAGACCCCAGCGCTGGAGGGGCTCTATTTCGGATGCGATTGTAGTCGAATGCGCCCCATCATGGCACACGTGGGATCAAGGATCCAAGGCATGTGAAGGGTTGATAGAGACATTCCCTGAGGATCACGAAGGGAGTATTTATCAGACCATCGAATCCCCCTCAAGTCGTGATGTTGTCTCCTTTCAGTCATTCAAGTATCAAACCTCATCATCTAGTGGTGCTTTCTGATCATCTTGCGCACCCTCTTTTCTTTTTCGATCTCCCCATTCCTTATTCCACACGGGCCTCCATCTCTGTGCAAGAGTTCCTTCTTTGGGCCATCTATCTCGTACTGGCCACTCTCTCAGTCGTAGCATTTCATATACTTGGATCTGCTACCCACGTAGAAGAGCCACTCTTTCATTCTCTTTCGTAAGTCACATTTGATGAGCTTTCGAGGTTGGTGGTGGACGGCACTGATAGTAATGTTAGTTACTTGTCTTTAACCTGTATCAGCCATGTCTTTCACAACATCTTCTTCAGTCACACTACCAGTGCCCGTTGTAGATGATGTTCACCACGACATTCAAATCAAGCCCGGCGACGAGAACAGTTCCGAGCTTAACTTGACGCCGCCGACTAAAGTCTTCTTCCCGCCGAGCAGCAACTCATCAACGCATACTCTCGTAGTCCCTGATGGCGCTCCTTCTCAACCCCCGACTCCTCCTGCATCAAGTAGCTCAGTCGATGACACTGACGACGAAGAAGACGAGATTCCCGTTCCCTCAAAGAAGGGCAACCGTCCTTACCGATACCTGCGCTGGAACTTCGGCTCCGTCTACAGACGCATCTTCAGTCTCGCGTTCTTTGGAAACATCGCCGCTCTCATCTTCGTCATCATCCGCTCCCTCATCGGAGGCATCCCGCTCACGCCCCAAACTTGCGCCACAGCCGTCTCAGCAAACATCCTCGTCGCCCTCTTCATCCGCAACGAGCACACGGTCAACGCTCTCTTCAAACTCTTCGTCCTCTTCCCATCTGCGAAGGCACCCCTCCGCATCCGCCGCACCTTTGCCAAAATCTACTCATACGGCGGCATCCACAGCGGCTGCGGTGTGGCCTCCTTCTTCTGGTTCATTGCGTTCCTCGTCGTCCTCACGGCCCAGCTCAAGAACCCATCAAACGCCGTGCGAGCCTACATCCTCCTCGACAGCTACCTCATCTGCGCCCTTCTCGCTGCCATCATTGGCTTCGCACACCCCAGGGCCCGTGTCCTTCTTCACAATTGGTTTGAGGGGACCCATCGCTTCTTGGGCTGGTCCGTCATCGTATTCTTCTGGGCCCTTGTCCTGATGCTCGCCGCGGACGACAGCACCACGGCCGGTACCCCTTACGCCGTATCTCTCATCCTGACGCCGTCATTCTGGATGCTCATCGTCATCACCCTCCTGGTCGCGTACCCCTGGACCCGTCTCCGCCTGCGCGATGTCGAAGCCGAGGCAATGTCAAACCACGTTGTCAAGCTCAACTTCAACTACGCAGACGTTCACTACGGCCAAGCCGTCCGCCTCACCGACGCGCCCCTCCGCGAGACCCACGCTTTCGCCGTGATCCCAAACCCCGCCGCCCCATCCACCGACGTCGAGAAGGCCCAGTCAACAGGTGGCCTATCCAACGCTGGCAAGAAGGGTTTCTCCGTTCTCGTCTCGAATGCGGGCGACTGGACCAACAAGATCATCAAGAATCCGCCAAAAAAGATCTGGACCCGTGGCGTTCCGCAGTACGGCGTTCTGCGCGTGGCCGGTCTCTTTGAGCCGTGCATCGTCATCGCTACGGGTTCGGGAATCGGACCGTGCCTGAGTCTCTTCGTGCAGAGGCCAGATCACCCCGTGCGCATCATCTGGTCGACGCAGCGGCCGGCCGAGACATATGGTCAGGCCGTCATCGATGCGCTCTACCGTGCCGACCCGGACGCCGTCATCATTGATACCAAGAAGACGGGCCGGCCTGACTTGGTTGCGATCACGTATCGCATCTGGGAGAATAGTCGTCGCCAGGCTCTTGGTCTTGCGCAGAATGAGGGTGTTCCCACGACAAAGATGAACAAGAAAAAGATGGGACCCTGCGAAGCCGTTGTCATTATTTCGAACCAAAAGGTGACGAGGAAGGTTGTGTATGGACTTGAGAGCAGGGGTATTCCCGCATACGGCGCCATCTTCGATTCATAGACCGGGGATGGAGCATGGGCCGCGATTGTTATCTTCTATGCTTTTCCTGTATTCTTTATTCGTCACATCATGTTTTGTTCATCTTTTGTCTAGATCTGCATCATTTGTTAAAACTTGCATAGCGGGCATTGCGGCATATGTAGTAGGCGTTTGGGTGGCTATGATAGAGCAGAGGTTCTTGTTTTCGTACGCCAAAAAAATACCAGAGGTTCGGAGAGGGGCAGCTGTTATACTTTTGCATGTTAAATGTGTAGAATAGATCGCACAATGAAATTGACTCATAAAGAAACACCCGATATCTTGCCATCCCTCTTGTCACGATAGTGATCTTCAGACTCAAGCAGAAGATTACCTTAGGCGGTCCAGATTGGACCTTCATGAACGGCTGTCTCACCTCTCTGATCATCAGCCAATCACGGCACCCCATCTGGTCGGTTAGCTCAGTTGGTTAGAGCGTGGTACTAATATTTCACCTGAAATGTTGTGTAATGCCAAGGCCGGGAGTTCAAGCCTCCCACTGATCATCTTTTGCTTCTTGTCGCAACTACAGCCCTGTTTTGCGCTGGTGAGAAAAGTTTTGGTGTTTTGGGCTGAAAAAACGACGTTGCTTTTTAGTCTTCGTTCCTTTTCGTTCCTCCCTTCCCTTTCGGACGAACTTTCCTGAGTTGGAGTTACCAAGCACGCACTGTGTACAAACGACAAACTTATGTTCGCGGCACCCTCCCCCATCTTTAAGCGACTTCCCCTGTCCAGAAGTTGTCGCTCAAAGTTTACCTCTTGCTTTCTGCACGGTGTACGAATCCTCCACATCACCCCAACACAACTTTGTGTTTTTTCCGTTGATTTCCATATTCCAACATCACGCAAAGACAATGGCGATGTCTTTTCCACGCCAGAATGTCAACGTCGAGGAATCCGGTTCGGGATCTGATGACCGATCATCAGCTTATCAACACGCAGCCTGCATCGCGTCGCATCCATCTCATTCGGACAAGATGAACCACAAGATTGCCGCACACTCATGATCCTACAAGAACCTCCATCTGGCTGGACCGGTGACCGAACAAAAGACCCTCGTCGACCTGACGTTTACGGACTCGGAGCTCAATCCCGCATTCTTGTTGCGGGTCGCAGGCACCTAAAAGTCATATATTACGGGCCCTCCACGACTCGAATTGGGCCTATGTGACCTCCCATTTCCACCGCCCCTTCTCGTTGCGTTATTTGGTTCTTCCAATCGGCGTTGTCGACAGTTCGTCGTCGCCCTTGGCTTCGGTTGAGTCAGTACCGCGCTGTCGCATCGCCGCGTACCGAAATGGAACACAACAATACACGGCAGGCAACCCGTCAAATTAGCCGGATGCATTTGCTTGTTGATGAATACGTACGAATCCATCAACGGATCAGAGTGACGAAAATGCACGAATCCGTGTCATCACACCTTGGCTGAATAATTCTTACGAATACCTCGCACCGCATTGAGGGAGTCGTCTGGCCTGGACTCGTTTCACCCAAGAACCCAAAAGCAAGACACTGCGCGCCGCCGCACCAAACGCCTGGGATATCGACAAACTGACAGATGCATTTGCTTCTCGCCTTTGCCCCCCGCAATCTCGTGGCAAAGCCAGTGGCGTTGTCTCGGTACGGATACAGGGGCTTTTCAAAGACGCATCGACAGCAAGAAGCCCAAGTCTGCAGTGCCCTCGAGGGTTGCATCCTGATGATCCTCTCTCCTGACAAGAAGCCAAGAAGTCCCAGCTGACGCCCCTCGACCCCGGCTAGACCCCCGTCGATTTGGGAAGCCCGGATCGAAATGCCGCACCGCAACGTGGGGCTGCGCCTTGTTGCCTCCGCATTCCGTTCCTGGCAATGCCCTGCACGCCTGTTTCGACCTCACTTCACTGTCCAGGACATTGCATCTTGATGTACCCAGACTCGCGGTGTTCCTGTCAAATATCATGACTTTCAGATACGTCAAGCATAAGCTGAGGCTTCATCGTTGCTTTCTTCTTCTTGATTTTCTTTCCCAGCTTTTGTTTCTTCTTTCTTGCGTGCTGGTTCGTCTCATGTGCAAACACCCGAGTCCCCCGCGTCCACCGCTTCATCCCGTTCCTTGCCCCTTCATCTGATTGCTAGTTTCTCCCGCTGCCTCTGGTAGATTGAGGTGCTTGGATCAACCCCGGTCATGAGGCTTGACCAACAAAGGCAATCCAGCACTGTTACATTCCGTTGGAAAGAGGCCCAACCCCACCACTATCGATGACATGTGCCGCTCTCCCCCATACTATGATGAACCCCGTAAACAAACATTTCCTCCTATCGGTGCAGTTGCAAACCATGCATCCATCCACAATCACGGGAGATATCACTGGTCGAGCCGTATGCTGGGAGCCTGTGGTCATGTGGCAGAAGCTGCCAACTCCAGGGTTTGATATCTGAAAGAAGAAAGTAGTAAGTCCCGGGATGGCGGCAAGACAGACAGCATCCAAGGAGGTTTTGGGCCTTGGCAAATGTCACTGTTCCTTTAAATCGTCTCTTGCCCTCTTAGAAGGCGAAGATAGGATCCGAAATTTTGGTTGCTAGACCTGTGTTGACCTCGACGTCCGGTACCATGAAGTTCTTCAGTCGTTCTGGTGCTCTGGCAGCACTCCTGGCCACAACATCTCGTAGGGTTTTCACAGCATCAAGGATGATTTACTTGCTAACATGCTGTTCAAGTCCTCGATGGAGCTGCCGCCCAATCCCCCACACCGGTTGTCTTGACCGACTCCAAAACCGGCATTATCTTCGACACTTGGTCCGCAACGAGCGCTCAAACGGCCGGGGGCATGACATACGGTTTCGCTCTGCCTCAAAATGCGTTGACGACAGACGCCAACGAATTCGTTGGCTATCTCGTAGGTCTTCTCAGCCCGTCGCCTACCTCACTGACTGACGGTGTTCGTCTAGCAATGCGCTTCCAAGAACGGCCAGGGCACTGGCTGGTGTGGTATCTCCCTTGGCGGATCGATGACCAACAAGCTACTTCTCATGGCATGGCCCAGTGGCTCTGATATCTTGACATCGTTCCGCTGGGCAACGGGCTATGTGATGCCAGACGTCTATGCAGGCGACGCCAAGCTCACACAGATCTCGTCCACTATCAACGCGACACACTACACCCTCATCTACCGGTGCCAGAACTGCTTCAATTGGAACCATAACGGTGCCACTGGCAGTGTCTCGACGAGTGCGGGCTCTCTCGTTCTAGGATGGGCGCAGGCATTCACCAGCCCGACCAACCCCACGTGTCCTGCTTCTGTCAACCTGGTTCAGCATGACAACCAAGGCATCCATGGCGCCGCTCTCGATGCCAACGCTGCGAACCCCTCGTACTCTGCATGGGCCGCTTTGGCGACCAAGACTGTCACGGGAAGCTGTGGTGGCGCCACTACAACTTCGGCGCCACCCTCTACCACCACTACGAAGGCACCCACTGGACCTACCGGTGTTCCCGTTCCCTCTGGCACGTACGACTACATTGTCATCGGAGCAGGAGCTGGTGGCATTCCCTTGGCCGACAAGCTGAGTGAGGCTGGCAAGAGCGTCTTATTGATCGAGAAGGGGCCGCCATCTTCTGGCAGATGGGGTGGCACCATGAAGCCGACCTGGCTAGAGGGTACCAACCTGACCAGGTTCGATGTCCCCGGTCTTTGCAACCAGATCTGGCGCGACTCTGCTGGCATTGCCTGCCAGGATACTGACCAGATGGCGGGTTGTGTTCTGGGTGGAGGCACCGCCATCAACGCCGCTCTTTGGTGGAAGGTATGTTGTCTCTCGGCCGACGAAATTGATGTTAATGCTAATATTTTTTAGCCATATGCCCAAGACTGGGACTACAACTTCCCGGCCGGATGGAAGTCTACCGATGTCGCTGCCGCCACAAGCCGGGTCTTCTCTCGCATCCCCGGCACCACGACACCATCTCAAGACGGCAAGGTCTACCTGACGAATGGCTTCAATGCAATTGCCGGCGGACTTCGCACCGCCGGATGGTCGGAACTTGACCTTAATGCGAACCCAAACTCCAAGAACCGCACTTTCGGCAAGACGCCGTACATGTACTCTGGCGGAGAACGCGGTGGCCCCATGGCGACGTACCTTCTCACAGCAAGCAAGCGCAGCAACTTCAAGCTGTGGACCAAGACGGCCGTCAAACGTGTTGTCCGGACTGGTGGGCACATCACCGGCATCGAAGTCGAGCCGTACTTGGACGGTGGATACACCGGAACGGTCAACGTGACTAACATCTCGGGCCGAGTGATTCTTTCCGCAGGAACCTTTGGCAGTGCCAAGCTTCTTCTTCGCAGCGGCATTGGCCCACAAGATCAGCTCGAGATCGTCAAGAGCTCCGCTGACGGGCCTACCATGATCTCCAATGCATCTTGGATCAACCTGCCTGTCGGATACAACCTGGAAGATCACACCAACGTGGGTCCTACTGAGAACTTTGGAGGTATGAAGACTGAAACTAATTGGATTCAGACCGATACCGTCGTCACGCATCCCGACGTGCAGTTCTATGACTTCTACGAAGCGTACACTGACCCCAACGTCACGGACAAGAATCTCTATTTGCAGAAGAGAAGCGGCATTCTGGCCCAGTCTGCGCCCAACATTGGCCCTCTGTAAGTTAAAACATGCCACTCGCTGATATCCGTTGCCTTTGCGCTAATGCCATCCTAGTTTCTTCGAGGAGATCAAGGGTGCCGATGGCATCACTCGGCAGATGCAATACACGGCCCGCATGGAGGGCAGTCTCGGTGCCCCCGATGGCAGTAAGTATTCCTTCCAGGCCCACCATTGTTTGACGTCTGAATATTAACACTTTTCACAGAAACCATCACCATCAGCCAATACCTCGGCCGTGGCGCAACTTCACGCGGCAGAATGACCATACAGGCCAACCTCGGCACCGTCGTGTCTACCGTACCCTACCTTCGCGATCAGAACGATGTCGAGGCCGTCATCAAGGGCCTCGAGAATCTGCAGACCTCCCTCAAGAGCGTGGCCAACCTTGTCTGGAACTTCCCTCCGCCGGGTACGACGGTCAGAGACTATGTCAACAATATGCTAGTCTCGTACTCGAACCGTCGCGCAAACCACTGGATTGGTAAGTTGACCCCACAGTCTCTCCTAACTCATACCCGTCTGCATATCGGGATCGCTGACAGACAATCTCGGAAAAGGTACGAACAAACTCGGGACGAGTGACGGTCGCAGCAAAGGCGATTCTGTCGTTGACGTCAACACCAAGGTGTACGGCACAGATAACCTCTTCGTCGTTGATGCCAGCATCTTCCCCGGGATGGTCACCACTAACCCGTCATCGTACATTGTGGTCTCGGCCGAACACGCCGCCGCCAAGATTCTTGCCCTCGCGACCTCGACAGCGCAGCCGCTTTACGGGCAGTGTGGTGGATCGACATGGAATGGCAGCTTCCAGTGTGCTACTGGGCTGAAGTGCACCGTCAAGGACGCCTACTACTCTCAGGTACGGATTCCTTCTTTCTCTTCATGTCTCCTGCCCCAATCTCTCTAGCACGTCGTTCGAACGAGATGACGATGATACTAACGTGATTGACAGTGTCTCTGAGTGGGGTTTCGAGGCAGGGTATCCCAAGTCGAGGAGCGCACGTGGCGCGCTTTATTTCCCAGTTCTATCCACCATGCTTTCACGTGTACATACTTTTTTTTGGCGCCATCTATCTTCCGAGTATATATTTCCATTGAATTCCTCGTAACCCCGAGGTATATTTATATCCACACTTGACTTCAACAAGCGCACGCCGTTTCTTGACTGATGAACAAGTTCTTGTTTACCCCTCGGTCCGGTGTTCTATCTAAACATGCGCACCAATGAAAAAAGGCCTCGGCACTACGCCTAACCCCACACGCCAACTGACGTCGTATCTGAGATCTCCCGGCACCTGGATCATCCCCAATTCTGCCTCTTTCTGGGGAGAGTCGTGTGGTCCGCCCCTCTTTCTAAGGTTTTGTTTTAGTCGACATTTCCCTGTTCGTTTACTTCGGAGGAACCACGTCTGGCCGTGCCTGGCAGTGTTTTGCCATGTGCCTGTTGATGGCGACTGGAGACACGAGAATATTGATGGGGCGGAAAACACATGGGATGAGCGGTGACTTAATTTCCCTGATTCGGGCACATGGAGTTCAACTTGAGTCGCTCGCCCAGCTTATCAAGCTTTCTGATGGAAAACCATAAGGTACGAATATGGTCTGATTCTATCCACTCGATCCGTACCTTATTCGTGATGACCCTCGTGACCGTCTATTCGGTGGGTGCAACCCACGCGCAACCCGGCCCCGAAGTCCCCGGTGCCTTGCATCTCCCGTCACGCCTTGGGTTGCCCTCAAAACGACACTGGAAGCAGATCTTCCAGCGACGGGAAAACTCTAGCGCCCCCTGGCACGTTCCGTGGTGACAGTGCGGTACTGCAACGGCAGTGTGGGATGGCCGAGCAGTCACCAGTTACGAGCCAGAGAAACCTTGATTTAACCTCGGCGCCGGCCGTGGCGGGGGGCAGTTCGTTCGGGCGCGTCTCTCGTAACTGGACTAGACTAAGCTGTAGCGCATCTCCATCTCGGGGTGTCTTCGCCGACAGCTTCGCCGTTACTATCGTCGCGCGACGATACCCGCCCCGCCATCACAACGCTTGTCCAAGATGAGAATGACAGGGCCTATTTCCACCACACCTATGACGATGGTCAAGACACGACGTTGCGTTTCCCCAGATTGCGGGGTGTGTCAGTCAATCTATGTGGGTTTGACAGCTCCCGAAGAATCATGATAAAAAGACTCGACGTCCCCGAGTTCAATGCAAACCTATTCTTTCTCTCCTCTCGTGTGCCTCAGCATCCTTCTTATTCTCTCCACCTCCCTTGCACAACGATGCCCTCCCTCAAATCCCTCCTCCTTCTCGGCGCAAGCCTGGCCGCGACCTCGGTCCAGGCTTCGCCCATCCAGTCTCTCGACTTCAGCGGCACCTCCCTCGCGCCTCGCGCCGACCCGAGTCTGACGGGCTACCTCGGTGCCTTCTTCCTCGGCGCGGACCCTTACGTATACCTGTACCTCTCCAACGGCAACAACCCGACCTCGTTCCGTGCGCTCAACTCTGGTTCGCCTGTGATTCGGCCGACCAAGGGGACGGGCGGTGTGCGCGACCCTGCTATTGTTGTAGGCGGTGGTGCGGAGAAGGGCAAGAAGTGGTATATTGTCGGTACAGACTTGGACATCGCAAAGGTATGTTTATGCTCATGACTCTCTGATGGGGAACCCGGGCGCTGATCGTGATCTTACTTAGACTACTTGGGATGCCGCCCAGAGACAGGGGTCCAAGGGCATTTTCGTGTGGGAGAGCACGGATCTCGTTAACTGGAGCAACGAGAGACTCGTTGTTGTCGAGAACTCCAGCGCCGGCATGGTGTGGGCTCCCGAGGCCATCTGGGATGCTGCCAAGGGCCAGTACCTCGTACACTGGGCCTCCAAGTTTGTAAGTCCATCATCGCCTTTGACACTGCTTCTCTCTGAGGCTGGTGAAAACTGACCAACGGCGTCAATAGTACCCCGCCTCGGACCCGAACCACACCGGCAGCCCCGGCGCCATCGTGATCCGCTACGCCTACACCTCGGACTTCAAGACCTTCTCCACCCCGCAGACCTACATCGACAAGTCCCCCACCAACATCATCGACCTCAACATCCTCCCCACCGGCACCGACGGCAAGTCCTTTGTGCGCTTCCTCAAGGACGAGTCCCTCAAGACCGTCTTCGTCGAGGTCTCGACCACCGGCCTGTTCGGTACCTGGACCCGTCCCGGCGGTAGCTCTGCTGTGATTGCGAGCGGCGTCGAGGGCCCTGCTTCGTACTGGGATAACCAGGTTGCGGGCAAGGCGCATGTTTTGCTTGATTTCTATGGCGATGACGGGTATAGGCCGTATGAGACGACGAATGTGGCGAGTAACTCGGGGTGGACTGCTAGTTCGAGGACTGGGTTCCCTAGTGGGTTGAGGCATGGTGGTGTTTTGCCTGTTAACCAGACTATTTACGATGCTTTGGGAAAGCGTTGGGGTTAAGTGACAAAGGTTTTGTACATAGGAGAGGGTTGTAATAAGTATATATAATCCGCAGCTGAGCGAGCTGTTGCAATGAACATTATCAACAAGACTTCCTGTGTTGTGACCCAATTGGCCCCTACTGTTCTTGATCATATTTCATGTGTCTTGCGCACTTCAGTTCTATGGCAAAGTAAGGTACTCATGAATATAACCACAAGGCATCTCTGCCACATCTAGCTCTAGGCCTCCGCAGAACAAAAGTCTGGCAACAACTGCGCTTGATCAGGATCTGAACAAGCCTGTGCAACTGACAAAAGGTACTGCAGCCTTGTCAAATCTCGAGACTCATTAGACACATCAAGAGATACTTTTGATATGTCGATAGACTCCAGCCCGATCTGATACGACAACTTTGCGTAAATGATAGATACCAGTCCCAACACGAATCCCACAATCGAGAACACGAGCGCCACACACGCAATCACGAAGTTGGCTGATTTCAAAACATTGAATCGATCAGGAGTAGGGAGAAACTGCCAAATCCCTCTTCTTGGGCCTTTTGCGATGCTCAAATGCCGGTCCATCTTCGTTCCCCAGATGGCGTACTTCTTCAAGTCGGTGCTTGGGACTCTGCCACAATAACCCAAGCTGTAAAATTCCTGTTCTCGCCTCTGTAGAAATCGCCTGGTGTGGTCATCGTCCGGAGGGAGAAGCACATTGAGTGTATCCAGCGCTTCGAGCAGCACAGATTGTGGTATCGAACAATCCGATCGGCCCACTTGCGAAGAGAGCCATATTTTGTGTTGAAAGACCCAGACAAGCCTCGATTCCTCGTCGATACACAGATGCTGATTCAGAAAGTCTGTCCACACGACCGTGTAGCCGTGAAACTTGACTAGGGACCTTATCGTGAGATGCGAGGTTAGGGTTCCGTGTTGCAAGTCCGGGTTCAGCACTCCGTTATAAGATTTAGACAGGGTATCTTTCAGCGATGCTCCGCACTCCCATAATACCGCTGACTTTTCATGTATATTTGAATTCGGCAAGACTTGGATACTCGTCATTGATTCGAGAGATGCGGCCACGGAAACAACTTCCATCACTTCTCGATCCTGGTTTCCTGGATTTGCAGTTCTGAGGCTGAATGCTTTCACAACATCCTCCACAGGCATTTGGTCTGACCGTCTGACAGAGCCCACGACTGTTTCAATTGTGTCGATGTTACTGTTTGACGGCAAAACTTGTTTTACGGCTTCTTCTGACGGAGTGATGACATTTTTGACGCAGGCTGCCAGTGTCATATATTGACCAGAAAGGTAGACTTTGTCTGCTAATGCTGGCCAAACTCGCTTGCAGATTTCAGTATCATTGGGGTCACCTCTCGTCGTTTTCCCGAAAGCCATCTTGGATGGATATATATCGGCTTTGATGTGAACTGCTGCGCGAGTCTGAGAGTAAGAAACAGACCGATAGTAAAGGACGTGGGCATGAATATGACTGGAGCTATGGTTGACAAGTTTCTAGGCTCGGTCAGGCCGGCTATTGACATTACATGTAGTTTAGACTGAGATATTAAACTCCAAGATGTGGAACCAAGATCAAGGTTCCTGTTGGACCACGTTTAAATGCTTGAACATTTACATACGGGGGCTAAGACAATCAGGCTGAGTGCAGTGAAGACATCAAATCGACGGCAATGATTGGCTTTACAGTGCTCTTGCACCGCCCCCTTATCCAGCTGTCAGAAAGCCTGCAGTCTGCCTTTTGGGCGAAGTGCAGGTGATTAGCAGCTCTGCAGTGAGCACAAAAGCCTAACGTTATGCCACATGCCGTTGACCAGATAGTCGAGAATAAGTCAAGAATCATATGCACATGCAAACAGAATAAGGCGAAACCTGTTGCATCTATGGCTCGAAACTCAAGCTCTGTTCATTCTGCCAGCTCAGCTCATTCTACCTCCAGGAGAAATGCATACTGTTCCTGGAGCAGAGATCTCTGCCCTATGCGACGATAATGATGACGAGATCGTCGCCACAGGAGATCACTGGTGTGGCCGGGAGGCCAAACGACAGCGGACGAACATGACCAGCCATGGTATATCGACACCCACGAATACAATTTCACCCAATTCAAGAACCAACGAGGACCTCACGACTGGATTTTCAGAAGAATTTGAGGGAGACAGAGCTGGTCGGTCTACACCGCCACCAAGGCCTGAGACACTGCTTCCGCCAACGGCGCAGTCTACCCCACCTACGTCGGTCCCTACTATCGACAATAACTTAACAATTACCAGCGACAATCAGACCCAGCAGAGCCTCTCTCAAATACAAACAGACGAGGTCACCACAAGTCACACACTGCCAGTAAGCTCTCCCCATTTATGGCGGTTTCCGAACACAACAACTTGGCATGCCGACGAAGACCATATTCCTATTCCGCCAAAGCTTTTATCCATGTGGACTCCTATTCGGGCCCAATTGCAACTGGACCTCGATACAGTTGTCACGGCAATGGTTTCAGAGCAGGCGAAGGCAAAAAACCGAGTGAAGCGGACGGACTCTTCAAGGAAAACAATCTATCCCGAGCTCCGGATGTCAGGTCATCAGCATAACTTTTTTTCAGGCATGGTTACAGTGTCACCTTGCGTGTGGATACTCTGTGGCAGCAAATCTTGTCGCAATAAAGTTCGCCGTCTGATGCGGCACCGACTGCTCCCCGAGATCTTTATGAAGCAAGCGATAGAGATTCACGAGATGGCGCCTAGATTCTCCGCTATCCATGCAGTTGTTCCACTTCCCCAAATTATTTCCGACATCGAGCAACACGTAGGGATCGTTTATGCGGGTGGCACCATACTGTATCATATGGAATCACCAATAGACTCGTACAGGCCCCAGTCAGCGTGTGGCTTACTTTGCTGTGCGACCTTTATTAAAGACGGAAGAATAGTTGATCAGCGTATATCTCGAATAGGAGGGCTATTATCCACCAACGACACAGACCCAAGACGCCCAATCGCAATAACAACTTCTCACGGGTTGCTAGATTGCCTATGGACAGAGAAAGAGGATAACAGCCCCACCATATTAACTCAGGAAGATACGGAGGATTCCCTGAAGCTCGATAGTTACATTGGGGACTACAGGCATGGATTTCAGGCTGCGAATGGAACAGACGATTACTCTGATTCCGATAGCGAATCTGGGAGCGAGCTCTCGCGTAGCTCAAGCCGTGATGGAAAGAATGGACCGAGTTCAACTGGCGATGAGACAGAAGTTTCAGAATGGGACCAGTTCCTGAACTACGATGAACATGTTGGGTCCGATTCGCCGGCAAAAGATGAAGCTGTTGAAACACAAGACATGGGATCAATTCTTGGAAGAAGAAGTCCTAAAACCATAACCAAATGGCACTGTTTGGAAGACATCGGAGGAGTCAGGCTTTGCAAGGAACGCATTCCTGTGCTAAGCAATAAACCTTTACCCACTCGACCAGCCGACTATGCACTTCTCAAATCAGATCTTCTATCGACTCTCAAGAATTTGTCTTCGTGGATTCCAATTGTTGAGATCACACACTATATCCCTAACGACACGCTGGAAGTTGGCCCTTTATCCCTTCTTCTTGGCCCAGGAGAAGCGCACGACGTCAAACTATTGCCAGGAACGACCACGATGCCTTTTGCGGAGGAAAAGCTGGTAGTTCGTAAACTCCAGCTGTCGAAACCATTAGGTGCTTTTAGATCTTGATTGATGGAAGGCTTAACTGACTGGCATGCAGCGGAGGGAACATCGGGGACATGGTTGTCCAGAGGCTCGTCTTTTGCCGGGATGGTGGTTGCGACATTTCCAGGCCAGCCTTTGGCCCTTATGGTCACTGCTGAGGACATTATGAACGACATGGCCTGTTCTTTTCCAATCGATAGAAACGAGGAAGCGCCAAAGCAGCTGGTTGTCTGTGACTCGAGCACTCAAGCAGTGCCAGGGACAGTGTCCGAAGCCTACACCGTTTTTGCATCATGGCATCGCAATTCAGTCGAAACAGATCAATCAGTGCACAGTTCGCACAAGAACACACAGACTCCATACATTCAGAGTTCAAGAGATGGGTTACAGATGATTAAAGGTAGGGTTTACTTTGCTTAGGTCTTGCGTAACATACCTTGAGTATGCTGATAACTTCGCAGCATCTCCGGAAAAGCCACTGGAAGGGACGAAGCAGAACCATGAAAAATTCACTTCATACTTCAAAGTATGGTATTGTGTAAGTCAACAAAGCTTGTATTTCATTTGGAGCTTGTTAGTTACTTACAGCTTTAGTCCAATTGTTCTTTTGGCCCATGTAGCGAGCATACAGATACACACTGTCCCCAATGTGACCATTGGCGCTGTTACCATTGTCAAACCCTCAACATAAAAAGTCCGAAAGGCTATCACTAGGTACTAGGGTATCAAAATACATATGTGTATTTGTCTATCTGTTTAGTCTTTGGTAGCATTGAATCTTGAATTATTTTGTTGCTTTGGCTATCAACTGTAGAGGAAGAGTTGGCTGGAATGGTCCAGTACTCCGCGGGATTGACTTATTCATTAAGTAAAGAAATGTCTAAGAAGTCTCTGCTGGTCATGTTGTGCGAAAGAAGTCAAATCCAAAGTAATTTGTGAGTTTACGTCTGATTGCTGCAGTGCTACAGTCAACCCGAGGTAAGGTAACGAACGATCCGACGTGCGTAGCTCGACAAGGAACCCACACTCATACCTGCAGAACCTTTCTCGCTTTTTTCACGAGACTTGGACGAGCCCGGTCTAAAATCAAGGGCGTATGCATTGAAGTGGGACGGAAGCATCACTTTGGCAAGTGTTGGGGCTACGATCAAATATGGATTGGGTTGAGTCTTTGGGTCTCCATGTCTTCAAGGTCCACAGGCAGTACAATAAGCTCATTCTATTAAAATAGCGTACGATGCAATCAAGAGGAACTTCTATTTAGCATGTAAATATCTGATTACGTATTATGGCTTTTCTTGTAACTGAAATAATACGCTATGCTTATTTCGTCCGGGCAATAAATTATGTACAGGATTAAGGCAACAGACCGTTTCGCTGAAACATCTTTCACACCTATAGTCTTTAGGCTTTAGGGTTGGGAACTAGGGACGAACTGTCAGTGGAATTCGTGCAGGCCAGGAATAGCTACCGGGAGGACGGCATTTCGAGTCGATTGGGGGTTCATCCGCCTCCCCCGTCGGACATTTCTTCTCACAAGTTACAGTTCATTGTAGCGAGTCATTATACGCCGATGTGCGTCGCTGGAATTGTTTGATGTGAGAAGAAATTTTCCATTCTGTCAAACGCCAAGCTAATTCCCTGTTCCAAATTCGTCTGGAAAACTCATCCGTCAACTCAACAAATTTCCTCCCCTCTTCAAGCTCCAACCCTCCTTGACAAGCCAGAATGAAGCCATGACTGGTGTTGTAAGAAGGCCGAGAAGTCCCCCAAGGATCCCTTTGAAGGCTTCGGGTGCCCACTTGGATTGGAAATACCAGTCCCAATCATTCCCTGAACCCCGGGTTCCGATAACAGTCAGAATTCCGACAGAGGCTGGCCAGAGCAGGAAAAATGAAACAACAAAAATCAAGCCGATCCGAATCAGGTGTTCAGCAAACACCGAGAGTCTGCTTTTGGTGTGTCTCGTGTCTTCTAGGTTGAGCATCATGAACCACCGCATGAATGGTTGCGAAGGTTCTTCAATGAAGCCTATTGGGCGGACGCTCCCATTCTTCATGTCGCGATTGGCGAGAAAAAGTTCGAGGAACCACGTCATTGTCGTTTGGATGATCATGGTTACTACTGCATCTCCAGCTAGTGTGTTGGGCAACTGAAATAGGCGAATGGGATTGCGCGCGATGTTCTGAGTTGAGTACATGCCTGCATGGTTTGTGTCAATAAACTCTCATGTTCCTGCTTGGTTCGCCAAAAGCTTAAGCTCAGCAAAGTGTTGCGGGGCCTTACCGTAAGCGATAGCAAAATTTATGCCCCCAGAGAGAACTGCGGCTCCAATACCGTCGAGACCAAAGATGTAAAAGATCTGATGTCCACTGATGCTATCCGTTGGCTGCTTCTGGTGAGATCCGGGAGGCTTGACTTGAACGCCGGCCTCGATGTCGCTTTCATTCGAGACCCTCTCATTAGAGATTCTCTCATGGCTACTGCCGCCGGCATACGTTGAGGCTGTGTTCTCTTCGAACGACTTGTCCGTTATGCGTTCGTGTTTCCTGAATGGCATATTGTCTGAAAGTTTAGAATAGAGCCTATCATGGAAGGAAGGAAGTTGCAAATTGTCGAACCAGGACGCGTCTTTATTGCAAACTATGCTATCTGTCTTTGTTGTGAAGGAGGCAACTTGTTGTAGAAGAGGGTGTGAAGGGGGGGCAACGAGCAGGGGGTCTGGAAGGGTTTTTTCCCTTCCTTTAAAAGGGGGTCCTAGGTGACTCGTGAGGCTGCTTCATGATCGCCGAAAATTTCCGGAATGACCGGGGGAGGCTGTCGAATATTGGTCGCTTTGGCGTTTCGGTCAGTGGGCTTGTGAGGTGACACGGGTAAGAGAATCAAGCGAACAGGTAAAATCCACTAGCTTGACTAGCTCCTAGACAGAGTTGCACTGATGAAAAGGGTCCGTGATCTTCGCTATCCGTCTACGGATAGATGTGGATGTTTGTCAGCGCACAGACTAGATCGGGAGTGCCGGGGTAGATGGAGACTGGCAGATTCCCATCTTTGCGTCAGAGTTGCCATGCATGGCGGTAGGTGAGCGAATCAGGTGGCTTCTAGATTCTTGATTTCCCGTCGATTGCGTTCTCCTGCATGATCTTCCTGTCGAAAAGGTGTTCTTCCTTTAGGGAACAGACAATGGTTGATATGCAGAACGTATCCGAGCTTGGGTTCCAGCCAAACGTGGCTGTGCAATGTCAACGGCTTGCGCTGTTGTTTAGAGTTAATCATGCGAACCAGAGGAGGAGGTTGGAGAGGAAAAGAGGAAGGGATTTCATGCCACGATAGTCCCAGTTCTCGCCAGGCGAGTGCGGTCTGCGACCGGAACTAGCCCGTGATCGACAGCTGGCAGCGCCGGATCTTTGGATGGGTTGCCCATGTAAGTCGGGGGCGGCCCCACAGACACCTTACTGATCGCCTCCGGAGCGGATGGGACCATCCCGGATGACACGGCTGGGAATAGGAACTACTCCCGCCTCCACCATTTGCTCAGTGCCAACAAAGTCTTGCCAACATGGATTTCCCCACGAACTAGTCTCCATAACAATCCCGCCCTCCAGGCGATCACACAGTGCATTGGGAGTAACACGATAGCACCGCCGGCGACCCAGAGGTCATAAAGCGCATCGACGGGTTACGTCTCATGTCTGAGGAGACACACTGGGTTTTACCCCTCCCTTAGAGAAAGAAAGACCCATCATTTATGGTGTTCCATGCAACAAGATCGAATGAAAAACCAAATGAAGCCTAGAACATGAGATCAATGACTCGGCATCCCTTGAAACATTGTTTTCCGTACATACATAAACGTGGCTGGCCATATCCGCTCGCGCCCTCCGGTACCCCGCCCCCAGCTTCCTCTTCGACGTGAGCAAGAGGCATTTTACGAGTGCCAGGCGCACAGAAAAGAAAGCCTGCAGTATTCATCGTCTGCGCAAGTTGGGCGAAGCAAATCCGTCTTCGCTTTTCCCTGCTTCTGAATACTGGCACAATGCTCAACGGCTACGAGTGCGACCCTGACGACAAGATGAGGCCCCCATCAATGGACATTGACGAGAAAAGCACCGCCTTTTCTCAAGCTCAGATCTCAACACCTGTATGACTCGGCAAACGCCAGTGCACCGTCTGAGTACCCCAAACTGACTGCGATATCCGTCTAGCCGGCACCAACGAGGAGACACACAATCAACACCATGATGACTACCACGATCATTCCAGAACCCACACCGCCGGTCGCGGACGCTCAACGGCGATTCTCTTGGCTGCCGAGATCCGCCACACCATCCCTGCGTAGCCCCACATTCCGCCGTCGATTGGCGAGCCCGTTTGATGACGACGATTACTCATATGCTGAGAGCAACCCGTTTGGAGAAGACTTCAGAGAGCAAAATGAGCAGGCTGCGCGAGATTGGGATCGTGAGCATGGTCACGATCACGGAGAAAATCCCTTTGAGGACTGCGAGTACGAGCTGCCGCCTGCATCGGCGAAGAAGGATGGGACTTGGACCAAGTTCAAGAAGGCTATGAGTCCACGGCGCGCCATCAGTAAGTGGAAGTATCGCAAGGTCAAACATGAGAGCATGCGACCTGGGCCTGATGATCCAGACCACGGAGATGGCAGCCATCATCAGGGGCAAGTCTCTTGATTTTGACACAATTAGTCAGTCTCGAAAGGGCAGGATGCTTGTCACACTACACTTGATACCACTCGGGGCGGGGATTGCGCTACAATGTTTTGCTTTCTTTCTTTGAGTCGTGGGGAAAACGGCGTTGCCTTCGAACAGAAGTGTTTTGATACCTAGTTGCCTTTGAGTTACCTGAAGCGAGCGATCAAAAGACAACCAGGCGTTGTCTAAGTGCGCTTAAAACAATCAAACCCAGTTGAATGTTGAAGTTATCTCGGAAAGAGAATTTCTTATCATCATTGGCTACCAATTACAATCAACTTTACATTTGAGACATGACATGATAGATCGATTACGCGAGACACCAGGGCCGAGTACGAAGACTTGTACGATAATTCAGGTCTATTGAATAATTGTTTTCATCGGTTTTCGAGCTTTAAACTATAGCTACAGATTCAGGAGTCGTCTCATCTCATTACCCATGGCTCCTGGGTGCGGCACAATAATTGCACCCGCCTCCTCAAGTGCTTTTGCTTTAAGATCGGCAGGCACATCTCTCGCTGAAAGAATAGCACCGGCATGACCCATCGTTTTCCCTTGCGGCGCCGTTCTCCCGGCGACCATTGCAATTATTGGTTTTGGGTTAGGCGTCAATTTTCTGTAATTTCTTATGGCCTCCGCTGCTCTAAGCTCAGCTTCGCCGCCAATCTCGCCAATGACGATGATTCCCCTAGTCTCTTCATGTTCAAAGAATAGTTTGAGCCCATCCAGAAGTGTGGTACCTTACACAGCAGATCAGAGCATATCCAAGGGGTATGTGAGGTGGAGGTTTTTGCTTACCTGGCATCATATCTCCGCCCATTCCAACAACGATACTCTGTCCAAGTCCAGCTTTGGTTGTGGCTCCTACAGCTTCGTAACTGAGCGTTCCGCTTTTGGAAACAATCCCAACAACGCCTTTTGTGTACTGCTTGTACGGCATGATGCCAATGCGGCATTGGTCGGGTGCGATGATCCCGGGGCAATTGGGTCCCACAAGTCGCGTTCTACTTTGTGTTCGGAGAATCTCTTGAACCCTAGCCATATCATGAAGGGGCACATGTTCAGCAACTGAAACGACGAGCGGAATTTCAGCCTCGATTGCTTCAATAATTGCCCCTGCTGCGAATTGGGCAGGAACGAAGACTGCGCTTGCGTGTGGCTTCACATCTTTTACGGCCTGTATAGAATATTTCGTCAGCTGAATCGCATACCTCAGAGGATGTTGAGGATTTCGTACTTCTTGTACTGTGTCAAACACTGGCAGGCCGAGATGATCCTGACCACCTTTCCCAGGGGAGACGCCCCCAACAATCTGCGTGCCATATTCTATTGTGTCTCGTGCATTTTTGGTGGCCTATCATCAGTTCATGTCAGCTCCATAGAAGTTACATTGACTTCGTCAATCTATGGTACGCACTGCTTTACCAGTAAATCCTACATAATAGTCGGTTAGCAAACCCAAAGGGTCTGAGAATAATTCGATGCATTGACGCATTATCACTTTTCTTACCTTGATATATCACTCTGGTATTCTGATCAATGCTTAAATTGGCAATCGTACTCTCGTATGCACCTCGATGCCCGGCTGTGAATGAGAATCCCCTGGCAAGTTTAGGAGCGCGAAGTTTCTGAGACAAGCACTTGAGTTGGGGAGATAATTTCGTGGCCATGTTGCCCTGCGACTCTCTCCACCGTGTCTCTCGTGAAGCTAGAGAAACAATATTTCAATCGATACACGTACCTAAAGCACAGAAGAGGAGGGTGAAAGTCAACATCAAAAGCAAGCAAGCAAGCATGGATGGGGCCTGGAATGGATCGGTTATGTAACTCCATATAACCGAATTGCAGGCGTAGTGATGTCATTGGCGCATTCAGATCCCCGCACTCGGCTATACCCAGAAATCAGTCTCGGCTACATGACCACCTGCACACTTCGAACATCTTCGGACAACATCTCATGAGAGCCCAAATCCTACTGGGGACATCTTGGGGGTACCTACCTAAGCATGAGAGGAAACGAGCGTGGCTTTATACTTGGCGACTCTTCGCGGTTAAAAACATTCGCGCCCGGAAAGACTCGTTGCCCTTCGGCTGGCGGCTATGACAAACCTCCGCAGGAGAGCGCGCCAGGCATGTCAGGCTTGTAATGCGCGACGCGTCAAGTGTAATGTAACCGAGCAAAGACCTTGTCGCAATTGCACAACAGCCGACACGCCTTGTGAGCTCCGTGAGTCGAGACGGGGCAAGCATCCTCGCCCATCACGGCGAAACGCAAAGCCAGACAACCAAGGCGGGCTAGATCAGGCTGATTCCTCACCTTCTTTTATCGATACAAGTGTCCTTGATGAGTCAGTGGCGACTGGAAACGATGAGCACTTTGCCGCTTCTCAAGCACTTGCCGACCTTGCAAGATATCGGGATGTAGAAGGCTTGGGCGATCAGACATGCATCACAGTGCAGCCTCAGTCACCTTTAATAGCACCAAACAACGGACAGGAGGACGACAGCTCGGTGTTCCTCGGCGAGTCATCCTCAATACGTTATGTCACCAACAGCAATCCAACGCCGCCAACAGCCGGTACATCGCCACCAGAAAACCTAAGGTTTCTGCATGCCGTTCCTCACGCTGTAAGAGCTGACAACTTACTGCCGGAATGGGAAGTAGAGCGCAGAAAGTCGAGGATTAGTTCTCTAAAAGCAGAAGGCGCCTTTTCATTTCCACCTGTGCCAGCCGTGGAAACGTTGCTTAAGGCGTACTTCCAATGGTTCCACCCAGGCTTCCCTGTTGTGGATGAGGTAGATGTTTGGACGAGCTTCAAGGATGGCACCTTATCCCCTTTGCTCCTACACGCGATCCTCTTCATAGCTGTCATTCACTGCAAGGAAGATGATCTACCAGCCGTTGGACTCGGAGGCCGTCATGTTGCCAAGTGGGTGTTCTACAATCGCGCAAAGGACATTTACGACGTCGAGTTTGAGCCAAAAAAGTTCACAGTCACCCAAGCTTTGTTTCTTATGAGCTTTTGGAGAGCTGGATTGCTCCTAGAGAAGGACGCCCGGCACTGGCTTGGCGCAGCCATCAGTCTTGCTCAGACGAAGGCGCTCCACCGATCCTCGAGATCCGCTGTAACCGAGAAGAGGACCGAGAGACTTTCTAGACGCTTGTGGTGGGCCATCTATGTCCGCGAAAGGCAGTGTGCTGCAGCATTGGGCCTACCAAACCGGATTCGAGACGAAGATTGTGATATTGAGCCGTTAGAGCAACTTGATTTCGAGCGTGCGTTTGACTCGACGTTGCCGATTCACAAAGCCCAAGAGTATATCGCATACTTCATCAGCATTGCTCAACTCTCTAGAGTACTGGGGAAGATCGTTCATAGCGGATACCTCCCCAGCAAGTCACTATCCCCGAATGATCGGTCTCAAATGAGAGACGACCTCGTGAGATGGAGACAGCAACTTCCTGCAGTCATGTCCCTCGCCAACAACGAATTTGATGATGCGGCGGGCTTTCATGCCAGTATGTTGCATCTGGCATACAACAACCTCCTCATCCTATTGTACAGATCAGGTTGCATTGGCAGTGCTGAAGAAAGTCAAGAAGTCGACGGGCAGATCGCCCTTCAGGCTGCGGCAAGGAACTCCCGCATCATCGAGGATATGCTGCTGGAGGGGGATCTGCGTCACGGGCAAATTCACGTCATAACGAACCTCTTCAACACGCTTTGTATTCATACGGTTCATCTTCGTTCTTCAAATGGTGCCGGAAGGGCGATCGTTGAGCACAGAGCGAAAGTTTGTCTTTTGGGCCTGCAAGAGCTACAAAAAACGTGGGAGGTTAGGATGTGGGTGCTGCAGTTATTTTTTCAGTATCTGGATCGATCTACGGCGGCGCGATTACGGATGCAGGATGATATCTCTTTCGTATCTGGACTTGACAGTGTGCAGGATGTCAATAACAATCCGACGGTGATGGGTGGCCTCAACCATGGCTCGGCTGAGCATAATGGGGAGGATGGACTTGATGCACTACTAGCGTCTGAACCTCCATGGTCATGGTCCACCGAAGAGGCGAATCAATTCCTGTTTACACAGATTGAAAATGACTTCGCTTTCGGCGAGGGAGGCATATTGAATTGGAATACTGGCACACCGGCTACCAATTTGCCATCAGTCGATAGTAACTCGCCGACAACTGTGGGCTTCTGAATACAACGTGTCAGATATTCTTGGAGAGAATTTCGTTTGCAAAAGACCAGTGCCTATGACAAAGCTTGAACACCCGGTTAATAGGGTGAACTACATCAGAATCAATAGGCTTTATCATACTTCCGCAAGCTATATTCGTCTTCAGGTGTCTGAAACTAAATGAGTTGCTGCCTCTGCAGGTGGCTTTTCCATCCACTATGTATCTGTCAATGCAATGGCTTCTTTACGCCGTTGAGCTGGTATTTCTTCACTTGACATGCCTTCACAGGCATCCATCTACCTTAGGACCATGTTCTACCTTAGGACCAAGTTTTGTTCGAGTGCATCAAAACAATCTTCAGCCGATTGACTAGAGAATGGGGATGTGTCTGGTGTACTCGCAAAACTTGATGCCGCCTCCGACACACTCATGATCGATTGTGTGGAATCTTCTGTACTAAAGGACAACAACCTCGCCGATCTCGAAACACTCTTTCTATCAGAGGCCAGCATGGAAATAGGTTTGGTGGCTGAATGCGAGAAGTAAGACGATTGCACTGGGGAGCCCACTGGCTTGACTGGCGGTCGTTTCACCCGGTCCTTTGTTGGGGATAGCTTATACTCCCTACTGCTGACGGCAGCTGCTGGTGAAAGAGATAACGATCTATCCCTCCGGTCGGACTTGTCAGGAGTGCCAGATGAACTCGGTAATTTTCCCTCCTGCTCTCCGGTGTCAGTCACAATCTGGCAAATGTTATCGGGCTGATCACATACAGCAGGAGATTCCACAGATATACAGGGAAATCTCAATGGATCGGACAGGCCATGAGTCCCACTGGTCGCATAAGCTGCGTCACGTTTGCTCTTCCGGATCAACTCGTTAATTACAGGCTGTATTCTCGAGCAAGCCCATCTCTCTTTAGCATCTGGCACAAGCATTGTGTACTGAATAAGGTTCAGCATTTCATGCACGGGCTCAGCACAGCTCTTCTGTTGATGCAGGTCATCAATCCACTAACAATTTTTAGTAAGACCGCGGTAGGCATACATCACTAGGAGAGCGACGGCTTCGTTGGGACTACTTACATCAGTGACGGATGTCTTTACATCAGCTGTCGAGGGTGCATCATCTTTACTTGGATTGAAGTTGAAGAACTTATCTTCAAGAAGAATCCTCGATCCAGTATGCGAGCCATCTTCTTGGAGTCGAGAGTCTGTAAAATCTTTCTGTGTTCGGTCGTGGCCGACAAGAAACCACGATACGAATTCGAGGAAGACGCAACCCAGGGACCAGATATCATACCTCTGCGATATTGTTCTTTTCAGATCCACATCGGGAGGCCGATAAGATCCCGAGAAACCCTTGACTGCGTCATAAGCGACTTTGGACCTGGAATCGGCAGTGTTGAATCGAGTTAACCCAAAATCAGATATTACAAGAAAGTTGCGACGCGACTCTTCGTATTTCTTGAACCAAAGAATGTTTTCTGGCTTGATGTCGCCATGCCGACCCCAGTGTTTGTTGTCAAGCAAGACATTTGGGTCGTTAGAAACAGGGGCGTAGTTGTCTTCTTTGGACATAGTCCTCAGATTATGAATTCTTCGAAGGGCGCGGACAAGGCCTAAACATTGGCTTAGAAACCAGACAACCTCAGCTTTGCTCCCTGGGTTGGCGATGGTTTTGCTCCAAAATTCCCTCAAATTACCATCTGCCCAAGGAAAGACCAGATAGTAAGATTGGCCATATTTATATGTGAGCTGAAGCTGGATCAAATGGTCAGGGTCTGGACCTCTTGATCCCACTCCTAGTCTTTCAAAAAGCTCCACTTCTCTCGCATACTCTTCATGAGTTTCAAGATGAAGCTGCTTGACTGCGAAATGCCGGAGGACTTTCCCTCGTTCCTGAGGAGGAATTAGAAAACAAGTGCAGTTGTAAGAGGAGGGTTGTGACTTGCCTTGGATGTAGTGTCGCGACTGTAATGAGCGTGGTGGATTCTGACTTTTCTAACGCTTCCATAGCCGCCAATTTGAACTAGGTCGTATTCCTGGAATGGTAGGATTGTTTTTGATGTAATTTCGTAGTAGTGCACGTCATCGCCTGGAAGTTTGAAAAAAGGTGTGCAAATTGTCTCCTGGCACTGAACAAAATTGTTGATGTGCTTGGTACGCCAATGGTTCAAACAACTCAAGACCGTACCGTCCTTCTTTTGAAGTTGGATGACAGGTTTGTGACGCAAATTCCGTTTTATTTCTAGCGGCAAAAAGCTGTCATCGATGTCGTGTTTAATGAAATCTTCGATCAGCTTCACTTGCTCCATCAAAATCAAGATAGCAAATATCTTTCGTCGCTGGGGCTGGGCCTTGACCTCATCTGGCTTGCCGCTGATACTGGAGACCCAGCTGTTGATGACTTTGGGCTTGAAGTGAGGGAATGCATGCCCCAAAAGCCGTTGTACGGCCGTCGGAGTTACGATGCGGCGGAGTGCATCGAGAGGCAGAAAACCTTTATCTTCCGAGGCTGAAGTTATGCTGGCGGCAAACATGGCGTCGCTCATGGTCTGAACATCGGCGTCATCGTTGGTATTGTCCTGAGGCCGTAGTGCAGGATGATGAGAATGTAATGCCTGAGTCCCAATACAATCATTCGCCATCTCTGATGACTCCCACTCAATGTAATCTGAATGACCCATATCCTGCACAGGCACGATACTAAGGAAGCTGCAGTTTGAGGCTCCAGCATCGGATGAACAGCCTCCAAATGATCCTAGGTTCCGATTTCCTTCGTTGATGAGCGGCAAGTTCCCTGCAACTTCTTCGTGACGCGTTTCAGTAAAGTCTTCGTCGGTGACACTGATACGCCATGAGAAGAGCAAATCGCTTTGACTAGCATCTTTTGTCCCCACTTCTGAGTTTTTGGAAATCGAAACGGAGTGTCCGAGCTGAGGTGCCTGAATCTGATTCGACGATGTTATTCCGGTCGTTGGTCCGTTTGAAATCGGGGATTCGGCGATGGGTTCGGCGATGCCCAAAAGCTCCCGATCGATGCCTGCTCGCTTTGTGGGATCCATCCTCAATGGTATCTCAAGGCGGACAAGCTATTGGAAGTGGAACAATCAAGTTAACGTGACCAAATTGGAATCTGTCTCGTAAAATGAGTGCAGGGCCTATGCTGATGACCTTGAGATGGCAGCTAGCAGACAGCTGAACAAATCATATGCGAATATCATTGCTGATGGTTGAGTTAACAAGCAGGTAATATTTGGTAGACCAGATGTTGGTGCCAGACCCCGCAGCTTCCATTTCACTAGTCGCCTTCAGCGACGCTGGATTTTAATTACCATACACCACATGCCCATTCCCGTACCAATATGGTGGTGTAACTGAGACATTTCGATCGACCAAAGCGGGCGGAAAGGCACTGCCCTATTTGCCGTGATACTTGGGCTCCCTGTTGTGCTCTCTTCTCGTAGCCTACCTCGAGTTGCATCGGCAATAGCCAATTAGCAGATGTGATGCTACACCACCTTTTCTCATGTCACCGAGACTGTTAGAAGCTAAGCCCCCTGCAGGTATCCGGAAAGCCTCAGAGGCGTCTAAGGGAAGTCTTACGCAGCGGGGGGCTTGGGGCTGAGCGTCAAGGTGGTTCGCCATAGGCTGCAAATGGGACCAACACCGCATCACTCGATCTTACTTGGCTTACCTGGGCAACTGCTGCTTGCAGCCACTCATATATCGTTGAGACTATGATTCAGGAATCACCGAGGTCATACCTCCGGTCTTTCTTGATCAGATCAGGCTATGCCAGCTGAGGTTAGCAAATGATCACGCACGCGAGCATAGCCCCAGCGCCTCCGTCAGGCAACTTTCCGAATTTGATGTGTCTATTTCAGTCGCAATGACACCGCTAGCCGCCTGACGTGGCGGTATTTACGCATGTCTAAGGCTGGGAGATTGGGCTGTTCTCGGTATCTCTATCTGTGTTTCTGAATGTTGTTTGGAGCGTCTAGATTTAAACACAACAACCGCTCACTGAAGCTTGCGACCCAGAAGCCAGCAAAGAACAGCACCGGCCTTGGATACACTGCTCAGTGATACAATGCCGCAATACGCATCTGTCAAGGATTTTGAATCAGGTCACTACGATCAGCAAGAACCTGTAGAACTACAAATTCACTCGAATCTCACGAGCTCTTCTCAATTGCTACGGGCGCTAGAGAGACGACTACCCAGCGGCAGTTATACTGTAGAGATGCGGCATAACATATACACGGTGCGAGTCGATAGTCAGAAAGCTCCGTCCGAAAGCTCGATGCTGAAAGCAAGTAAATACCGCCTGTAGGATTACTCTGGTATGTGAAGCCGGCGGATGAAGTCCATGACTGCAAAGCTCTAAGGAAGCGGATGCTGATTCTTCATATCATTAGTACATGTATGATTCATGAATGTTAGATCTATGAGCATTTGATTCTAAGAGATGGGCGAAAGCGATATGGGGCAGCGCAAACTGCGCGAGCTGGACACTCGCAACTATCGAGAACACGGGCTAGACTGCCTAACAGAAAGGACAAATGATTCCAGCATGGATTCAGCAGAAATCGAATTGGAGGGAATTCAAAGGACTGAAATATTTTACCTAATTCACACCGAGAATGTAATGGCGGCCATCGGCATCGACATCAGTCATTTGATGCCTAGGCCAAGTCTCTCGATTCGTATTTTCAAGACCGCCTCTTCACAATGCACAAATAACGATACACAACACACAGTGATGACCAGCTAAAAGTCAAATACTTGCTTGATAGGAATAAGGTCACCTAAAAAGTGATCTGGAAGAAAACAGATGATATCCCACTTTGACATTAAGTTCATGAAAACCAGGAGATTTTACGTCAAAAATTCTCAAAAACCTACTGCACCTCAACGTTGAGCTCCGGCTCTCGCAGTAGGATGTGCTCAGCCAGTAATCTTCCTACGCCAACGCGCTCATATCGACCACCTTGTTCTTCAGATAGCCTCGCAAT